AAAAAATTGAACGAAGAAGAAGATGATGATGAGAAGGAGACTGGATTTATACTTCAATGGGGTATCATGCCACAGAGTCAACCTTCCAAAGCAGTCATTTTCTCCAGGTGAGCTGATCTCTGTCACTTGGAGATCTTTGGTTGTATTTGAAGAATAAGAGTTGGCTTTATACCCCGCTCTTCACTCAGAGCGGCTTACAATCTCCTTTCCCTCCCCCTCTCCACAACAGACACCCTGTGAGGCAGGTGGGGCTGAGAGAGCTCTGAGAGAACTGCTCTTGAGAGAACGGCTCTGAGAGAACTGTGACTGACCCAAGGTAACCCAGCTGGCTGCAGGAGGAGTTGGGAGCCAAACCCGGTTCTCCAGATTAGAGTCCGCCGCTCTTAAGCAGTACACCAAACTGGCAGTAAACGTGATCTTTTGGACCACCAAAGGATTCTCTGGCCCAAATGAGGCAGAACTATAAAGATAAGAACATAAGAGACGCCAATGTTGGATCAGGCCAAAGGCCCATCCAGTCCAACACTCTGTCACACAGTGGCCAGAAATACCAGGTGCCATCTGCAGGTCCACCAGTGGATGGTGGTGGTTGGACGGAGAGGCTTGGATCAGATATTAATTGAACTATACTTAGTGTGATTTCTGAACATGGGCCACTCTACTAACTATTGTCAGTTAGGAATTGCTGAACCAGGAATTGATGCCTCTGTAGTAACCCTGATTTTCCTTGGAGAGCTCCCATTAAAGAACTAACCAGGGCTGACCTTCCTTAGCATCCACGATCTGATGAGACTGGGCAAGCCTGGGCCGTTGACTTGTCGCTGTCCTCCATAGTAACTGGTCGGCCACTGTGTGAAACAGGATGCTGGACTAGATGGGCCACTGGTCTGATTTTTGCATCTTAACTATGGTTTTGCATAAATACATGGACATCTTGGCTTAATACTGGCACGGTTCTCATGGAATTGTGGGTTGGGATACCAGCTGGGTCTAAGGTTCCAACAGCCCTGGAGAAAAAACGTCCCATCCCTTTAATAGAGGCTTAATGTGACATTACTTACCCATTGAAGTTATTCACATTCATGCCATGAAAAGCTTTATTAAAGGGATGGGACATCTTATTAAAGGGGCAGGACCTTTTCTCCAGGCTTGTTGGCTGGGTCTCTGTCTGGATTAGAGCTAAAGTGAAGAAACCAGCATTTGCTGAGGCAAGCTGGGGTTTGAATATAAGCCAAATCTCGGTTTCACAAACTAACCACAGCTAACATCAACCAAGGTTCCACGTTCTTTCTGAACCGAGCCGGTATTGTTTGTATAGGCTAGGAGGAACCGCAGAAGCTGGTCCCAGGCCTTAGTCTGAGTGAGCCGAGGGACAGCTCCTAGAGCGATCTGTCTGAGAAAGTCCACACGGAAAGGTGTCGTCCAAACAGGCTTCATGTACCATTTGCTTTAGACAATCCAAGAGAGGTTTAATTCACCTTCAGCTCCTGGGATCATTTGCAAACAAATTAATTCTGTGCAAGGATATCATTGGGGGGGAGCATATTTCAAGATCGGGGGGGTCATGGATGGCCATAGTATGATGCCTTAGAACATCCATGATGTCCTGACTACTTTGGATTTTGAAGATTTAGACGTTTCCACTGAATGATGGGAGCCTTGCTCAGCATTCCCAGAAGTACAGATGGGTTGTGGTCACACACACTAGATAATCCACTTTCAATGCACTTTCCAACTGGATTTTACTGTGACTGGCAAAATCCAGTTGGAAAGTGCATTGAAAGTGGATT